GATTCAAATACGGGCAGAACTTCACCCGCGAATGCCATACGGTGACTGTCTGCGACTACGACTCCTTGTCAGAGTCTAGTAGCCGCCCTGGGTCCCCTGTGGTTCCCTTTGTGATGCGGGATACGGAAGGCGGGGACGCGGCCAGTGGTCCATCGTCTTCTGCCATTGCGCCTCTTCCTTCAAGATCGACTGACGACCCTGAGGCGTCTCGACACGCTGGTCCAAGTCACGAAGTACCTGCAGCGTCTACGGTACCTGCGGTGCCTACAGTGCCTGCAGCGTCTTCAGTGCCTGCAGTGTCTACAGAACCTGCAGCGTCTACAGTACCTGCGGTGTCGACAGAACCCGCAGTGTTTGCAGTGTCCACGCACCCGTCCGAACTCAGCACGCGCAAACGATCGCGTGAGCCCTCTGACGACCCAGAGGACATGAAGCCGGAGAAACGCGTCAGGTTTTCGGACTAGATGCTTGTTGCTATTGTTGTTGCTTGGTTGGTTTTTTTCTTTTTTCAATGCTTGGACATTATATCTCGGTGCAACGAGATTCGGAATCGGACTCGATGAGTCTGTAGTAGCGCTTGTGCTCCGGACGCTGTTTTTTTTTTCTTGTATATATTCTGCTTGCCAGCCTAACAAAAGCAATAAATTGTCGAATGATACCGACATATACCTATATGTCCCGGATTGAATACTCGTGAGTAGCGGTACAATATGAAGTTCATAGATAAGGAAGATCAAATCATTCGTGTCTGTATACACTACATTAAACGCTAATAAGCTTGAAACCTTCGCTTGCCGCTTCATTCGTCCCCGAATTGACAAGGGCATCGTCGGGGCGTAATACCACATACTGTTTATTAGAAACGGCATAAATAGAGTAGATCCCAGACGCGGTGCCTGCTTTGGGCCGGACTACAAACAACTCCCAAGTCGATGCATTTGCGCGTGCTGCAGACAAGGTAAAAGTCCCGGACTGGTCAGCAGTAACATACTGTGAAGTCGCGACGGCTTGAATGGTGCCAGAATTCGGAGCAAATGCCAAATCGAACACAGCCGCAGAAGATGGCGTGGTCTCCGAGGCATATAGATCAGGAAGAGTGGCGTTCGCGACGTACTTGCTTGTCGACGTCGACTGCACAACGAATCGACCGACTGGATTAGAGGGTATAGAACTGCAGATGCCTGATGCCCCGAGACGCGTGGCCAGGAAGTACAATTGGTTGCTGTAGGAGTTGCCCGAGCCCCAGCTCGTCAAGGCAGCGGACTTGGTGGCAGCGTCCGCAAGATTGGCTTGCGAGTACGCCAGATAAATGACCGACTTCCACGCATCATCGTAGGCGGGATCCGCCAGCTCGCTAGAGGTGTACGAAAGGACATTCTGTGCCCACGTCGCATCGTACATATACTCGTTTATGGGCGTGACAGGCAGAATCTGGATGGCAGCTATCTGGACTTTCTGATTGCCCCAAAACCTGGAAGAATGCAATTAGAAACGTTCCACAAATTAAAACACAACTACACACAACCAGGCGCCGGCTTGCCAATCCATGACGTTCCCCATCGTGACCAGATTTCGAACGCTCTGCTCCGGATAGGGCTGATCGCGATCTGTGGCACTTGTGCCAGGATAAAGATGCCAGTATACTTGTGCTGCATGTTGCTCAGTGGCAATAAGCAGGCGCGCATAATTCTTGAGATCTGTGTTTCCTGAGACCTCTGACCATAGAAGGGCCCCGTAGTAGCCATTCACTGCTTCCCCGATGGATTCCTGGTCCCTCGACCCAGCACCATTGGCAATCCCAGAGGCTAAAAAAATATCAGAAAGATGCGAAGACGGACAGGAAAATATTTACCCCATGAATGCCCGGCAAACCAGTCTCGGCAGCGCGTTACAGGGAAATATGGGTCGTTCCGCGAGGGATTGACAATGTCGCGGAGGAAATAATCGAAGAAATCGCGATGAAGATCCATCCAATTGGCGTCATACCTGTTGAAAAAAGCGTTAGGGATACGCGGCTGCGCATATGTAGCCAACTTACTTGGAAATTACTGCAGCTGCAGCCAGGAAATAGCCATAATGGAAGTGATGGTCATTATAATAACCGTTGCCAAAATCGACATAGACATTGTTGTAACCTGCACGATTGATGATTCCTCCCCAGGCTGTTTCGTATGCAGCCTGCGTAGGAGATGAGGACGAAAACTAGACGAAATCGTGGGTAAGTGAAGTAATTGTATGTTTTAAATCCTATCTTACCCAAAACGCATACATAGCTTCGAGATATGTTATGACGGGCTGTACCAAGTCGCTCCGTCCAACCTCCTCAGCTATCAACCTGAGTTTATATCATAAGCATGGATGGAAGGTGTAAATGAAATCGGACTTACGCTAAGCGGGACACCATTGCGACATGGCCACCAAAAAAATAGAAATCCCCTGGTGCGGCGATCGGAGGCAAGTGCGCAATTTCGTACTCAAGGCCAGCAATAATGGACGGAATGCACGAACTATCGGGCGAACGAGGGGCATTCCATGTTATAGTAGGAAGGTCGTATTTGAGTTCCCACACGTTGCCCAGCGCTGGATACATATAACCTTTTGTCGTCAAATAGCTTAAAGCATTCGTGCCAGGAAAATCAGGGGCTTGCATTTTGATCCTGCACAATTGTATTCATAATCACACGCAATGGCCAGTGAAGGTATCCAACGTACCGGTGATGCGGCCAAGTGAGCATCAATAGGTCCTCCGCGTTACCCACAACGGCCCATGTAAAACGTAAAGTCGCCGTGTCTCCATAAAAGTCGTAATCAGTCGTTACAGCGGTAGGATATACCGACGCATGAGCGTCGAGAAGCGTTTTGTGCGAAGGGTCATTGAGCTTTACGACTCTCAGAACACCTGTAAAGCTTGTTGACCCGATGATGGTACTGCCCCCATCCTGAGCCGTCGCAATAAGCTCAATGGCACCAGATAAAGAGTAAATTATGTAAGTGCCGATGTCGTTAACGACGAGAAATTCAGTTCCCGTTGCCGTATCTGATGCTTCATTCAGAAAAAAAAAAAGGAATGGCTCGATGCCGAAAGCTTACAGCTGCTTCCAGGAGCGAGACTACTCCCGGCAAAAGATTTGATCACACCTTGACCGCTGGTGAATTTCGGTGTGGCAGAGGAAAATGCGAATGTCAGATAAGGTGAGCCAGGGACCATATAGGTCGTGAGCGTGCTTGATCCGGTGAAATATTGAAGTGTGACAGATTGACTGTCCTGTCCCAGGAGTAGCCGTGTTAATAATACATTTTACGAAAACGCACTGGAATACCGACCCATGATATGGCTTTATGGTCTCGCGCGTTGCCTGAATGCTCGATAAAGCCTACAGACCAATCTGTCTCCGTGGGCTGGTGTATAGAAACGCCGTCGGTGTTACGGGAAGTAGATATACCAAACTGAATCGCGTTGGCAGTAAGGCTAGTCTCGTACGGGAAAGGACCTGCGCACACACTGAGAAATCAAACGAAGACATGTCAATCATAATATACAACGGGGAAATCCGCACAATGCTTACGCGTCACCATTTCCGGCGCCATAACCCACCCACCAGTCATTGGTCGGGTAAGGGGGTGTAAATCCTTGAAAGAAAGAGTTGGGCGGCTGATCATTCGTGACGGAGCCTCCTGGCGGGACGGGATAGTCTGTACCGATGGTCCCGAACAGAGTCGCTCTGACCACTGGAAGAAACACGATCAGCAACTGCAATAGCCGGTCCATGAGTCCCCAACAATCTGGAGGTTAATTGAAGCGGAGGTGTTGATAAGCGGGCGTTTCGATAAACAGACGCGAAAGTGAATCGTCATGGCTAAGACGCTGCCCTTGCATATTTATAGCCTAAAAGGACGATAGCGAAGTTAGTAAGAAAGGTTGTTCGCAGATTTCTGGAATACCTTGGCTAGTCCTGGTGATCACGACCTGACATCGAGGGAGCAACAGCTGGCCGACCCCGACGGGACAGTCCGACCGTCATCGACCTTACCGCTGGTCGCATATGTGGCACATTGTGGGGCTCAGGCTCAGCGATAGCTTGCAGCAAAAGGGAAACCGGACAGGGTAGGAATGCATCTCGACTCACTGGCACGCGACGTTTCCGTTCGGTCTCGCATCATAAATTATGCCCGCTGTTTGCTTGGAGAGCAGACTGTTGCACTGCGCTAGCAGCGAAAGCTGTCATGACCCAATATCATGAGAACAAACACACAAATGGGAAGCTTACCGACGCGGCTCGAACTTCGAGGAGGGTACAACCCACGTGGTCGCTCTCCTCCTGAGCTTGATCTCTACTAGCGTGAAACTCTCGTCAGACACAGTCATCATGTGGACAGGTTGTTTAGTGGACAAGAGCAAGCATTTGGCGCCCTGTTCATATGGGAGTCTGGAGATGGTGGCACGCTTACCGCTAAAGTTTAACTCCACTCCAAATGGACAAGACACCTGGATGAATGCTTGCGATGCTAGGCTGCGTGCCTTGGAAAGTACCTCGAGACGAGTTCAAAGATGGCACTAGAAATTTTTTCTCCAACGATGCTTGGGCGCAAAGGTTAGTAGTCAAATGACTAGAGAATATAGAGCCGTTGGAGAAGATCCGAGTTTGAGGCTGAGATTCAGAACAAAGCATGAGCGGCAGATTTAACCGTCAAATATTACTTAGAAGACGCCCCACACCCCGACGTGAATTGTCATCATGACTCCAGGGAGAGAGATATCAAATAGCATCCATACTATCGTCAACACGGCGCGACGCGAACTCTACGCAGCAAGATGCAGCGCCGTGACAGATCAATGCATTCAGAGTACAGTTACGATCCCAGTGTCATACGGTGTTAGGCAAGCCGCAACCTCAGAGAAGATATGTGTAAGTAAGTAAAAACCACGCTTAAAAGTTACACATGTAACACGATGATGATCAAAAATAGTCTTCTAATGCTCCGGACCTAGAGGCCTAGAGCTCTCTGACTGGGAGTCGAACCCAGCTCTCCCGCGGCAGGTTTGTACCCTGAGTCCCATGACAGGCGGGTGTACTAGCCGATATACTATCAGAGATGTCAATGTTCGCAAGGTACGGTATAAGAACCACAACGACAAGCGCCAATGGTCTATGGCGTTGGATGGCGTTGTACCTCGCCACAAATGCTACAATTACTGGAAAAGAAAGATATGTACGTACTATGTAGTGGCTACATCGTGTTTACATAGGGCAAAAGCTAATAACTAATAATGTATGGTCTGGGACGAAGATCAAATACAACATGGCTGGGGTCGAGCCTCGGGTGTGCCGGTACTGAACACTTCTCGATAATTGAAAGCCAAGTAGCAAAGAAGAAGAGAAGAAACGCAATATGATTACCGTCACAACAAATGGTGACGATGACGAACAAAAACACGGGGGAGGGCACAGAACAATGACGGAACAGGGCTCTTAGGCTCGCTTGAGTCCCGACGTTTACCATCCAAGGGCACAGCCAGCCACTGTCCTCCCGACCGCATCCATCAAAATACAGTCGAATTTGGTGTCGATGATGACCCTGTCGAGTGTTGACCACAATGTGCCCGTCAAGCTCAAGATGTTTAGCAAGGATGTGTTGATTAACGAAATCGTTCTACAACCGCGTCAGAAAATCCCGTGAAAAACTCCGAGTCGGGCACAAAACCAACCTCAACAATAAATATCTTTAGCTTGACATCGAGTTCGGATAACTTTAGCTGCGCGACAAGGCCTGGTGACAGCTCGATGACTCCTGGAGACCGCGATGTCCATCCCAAGACCATCAACCTTGACCGGCCGTAGTGGCATGCTGGAACTCGATACGTCAAACTTACAGGAAGTGGTGCTCTATGCTCTTGTATGGCTAGAGTTATCCTCAGTAGTTGATTGTGACGATGTGACACGCATGTGATCGCTCGAAATCGCCTCCACCAATGAGTCGATCTCGTTGTCATTTGATGATGGCTGTAAGCTATTCGTGCGCTTGTGAAGTCGCAAAGGCGAGGAGGACGACAAATTATGAGATGAGCGAGAGAGAGATATTTTTGGACCGCTGTTCAATGCGAGCGGGATGAGGCATGAGAATCGACTGCCTCGATCGACCTCGCTGGCAGAATCGACACGAGATTGACCCCTTGCCAACGAGTTACGACTTTCAACATGTCAAAACGCTACATAAAACCTACATCCAGTTGCTCGACGATGCGAGCCGAATTTACAACGGATACCCATTCACGTACCAACACCAGCCTCAGTTGAGGGCTTGGGCTCCATGTTTTCTATTCATTCAAATTCGCGGAGTATGCTCTCCACCCCATCCGGAGCAATATCAGATAGATGAACGAGGCACTCGATGGCGTCGGAGACTCGGACATCGTGGAAGACGTAGAGGACGTCGCGAAGGAAATGAAGACGGGCCGGTTCTTTGGACGGCCATTCCATTCAATTTGATCATCGAGATGGGGATGGGGTGAAGCAACAAAGTTGTAGAGAACCGGGCGCGTCTCCCTCAGGCAGATGGAAACGAGAAATCCCCACCGACCACACCCTTTCAGTCAATTTGGAAGCTTTGACCGGTGAGTTGCCCCTTATCAGGCTAGAGATCTGTGGCCGCTACAGAACTGGCACGGTCTCAGAGCTGCAGTTCATCAATGTAGCTGGAGTACGAAATTGCCTAAGACGGAAGTCGTTAGAAAAGGGATCTCGATTCTGGCTGTTGTAGTAGACAGATGAGTCACATTCGCATCTTGATCGCCGTCCAAGTTGTTTCCAGATCACTGGTATCCGTGAACTTATCATTCTGCAGTGCTTTATCCTCTTGGATTTGTCTCTAGCTTGAAGATTGCATGGACGAGGACATCTCACCTGCTCAACTCTTTCATCGAGCACTCAAGGCTGCTTCCGAGGCACAGTCACTTCCCACGGCAGACGACGCAACACAGGTATACTGTCTCCCATCCATGCTATCGACCTCCAATGCTGCACACAGGATTTGATACGCGCCAGCTTATCCGACCTTCGGACCTTGTACTTGCGCATACACGATCTTTCACTCTTCAGCCCGAACGAAACCATCGATGACATATCCACACGCAACCTCGTGTACCTGCTCGTCCCGTATGTGCTCGTCGACGTGCAAGGCCGCGTGCGCACATTCGAGCCTTACGAGCGCGTTGCTACATTGAATTCCGCGCAGGTGTGTGCCTGTTCTTATTACTTTCCCTGTGTATGATACCGTCAATTTATCACCGTATTCAAGAGGTATCTTGATGACTTCCTGTCGTTACTGACCAACTACGATGTTATCCCGGAAGCTGAACGCATATTATGGGGTAAATCGGGTTCCGACATTCCCAATCCCGCCGCCCGCAGAGAATTGAAGATCAAGCAGTACAAGACCGAAAAGGACATACGCGCCCGTATCGAGGTCCTCATTGTTTTACCGCCAGAAATCTCGCTACAATGCGCTCACTGCCGTCTCTCCAGACCTTGCGAAAACGTCGACGCCAGTCGCAGGAGAAAGACTCGCCGTCCGACATGGACATGATCTCATCTCTACTACACACTTCTGACGGCGACGAAGACGAGGACGCAGAAACCGCAGAGCTGTCGCGTGAAACCACACTCTTGCTGATAAGATTATGCTTCGCGCAGGCATGTGCCACGCAGGAGAGCATGAAGCAGGAGCTTGAACTCCTGCGGAACGCGCCCCCTCCAAAACCCCCGTCCGCTGCGCTGGAGGCCGATGTGCGGGACCGTCGTCGGCAACAAACGGAGGATATGTGGCGTCTTGACGCGCCACGTCCGAGTGACGGACCATTGCTGGACGCCAATGGGAGGGTGCGTGTCTTTATTCCGCTTAATAAGATTAAGCCTTAGCGTGCATAGCCCCTGCGCCCGTTCACTATTCTAGGATCAAACGCTGTCGATCGCACACGCCTGCAAGCTCAAGTTTTCAGACCAGGATACAACTTGCCGACCATGTCTGTCGATGAACTGCTAGAGATCGAGCGTCAGCGCGGCAGGTTTATTTCTGGAGGCGGGTGAGCTTGTCATGTTTTCCTGTGGTGGGGTTTCATTCGCTGACTTGATCGACTTGACCATTGTTACCACCTTTTCACCGATCCCAGTCCTGCATCTGAAAATGCGCCGACCTCGTCAGAACAACTTGCAATGGACGCCGAGATGGATGGTACGGCGTTCGGTGAGGTCAAGGTGGAAGAAAAACGACTGAAAGACGAAAAGTGGGCACAATACACCGATACGCACACACGTGGTGCTGGTAATACCATGAATCGGGGTTGAGTATCTTCAATTGCTGAAAGTCATCGTATATATGTATTTGTATGTGTCGATAAAAATGAAAGGAACGAGTTTATCGTCACTTTCACAAGCTGCCATGTAGTTCTAACTTCCTGTTGAAGGCGAGACAAGCCGATTATGGACGCACGGGTGCAAGATGATATTCAAACCAGTGATCAGCGTTCAAGTGAACTCTATGACCCAACGCTCCAGCAACCCAGCAGTCAATAACCCAGCCTCCCATGCAAGCATCAGCCGATGCTGGCGCCAAAACTCTAGTCCGTATGCATTGACAAACGACGTGCGCATCAGAGTATCATTCTCCAAATGGTCACGCAGTGCCAGAAGCCGCGCAGCGTGTTGCGAAGAGACATTAAGCACGGAGTTGATACGAGCTGCACGCGGTGAAGACATTCGAGTCGGCTTTCGGTGCTGAGCTGACAGGCAGGGGGTCGAGAGCAGATCCAGAATCCCAGACAGAGTTATAGCGAACGGCGTCAACAAGCGTCGTCCGGGCTTCGAAGAGTGCTGACGGGAGCTGAGAGAGCATCGAAGAAATGGGATTCCAGATAAAAAGAACGGGACCGACAGGAAAGGTGTACTCGGCGCGAGTGTCGTGAACTCCAGTGCTGCAGTCTCTCCAGTACAAAGACTGGCGCAAAATGCGTCGATGCGCTTACGGACTAGATGCGATGGGATATCATCCAGACAAAGTAATGGGCAGGTATCATGGGCAACGGGTCTAGGGTACAGGGCGACAGACGTTTCCTGAGATAGTCCGCGACTTGATGTAAGTGGAAATAGCATAGCGGAAACAGAACGGGAGATTCCAGAAACCTTCATGCGTAGCAATTGATATGCATGTTTTTGACGGGCCACGAAAACACTCACTCGCGATCTGGCATATTCACTGATCATCCAAATTGGCGCTGAGATCTTCCAACTAGCCTCGAGCTCCAAGCGAACGATGAATCCGTAAACCCGCAGTGGTCGGGTGAAGAGTTCCGCAAGGTCGGAGGTATGGCGTAATTCAATCTTGCCGGCGGTTACATCGCGTATGAGATAACCGACTGGTATCGAAATGGTGTGAGCGTTGCTTGAAATACTGTCGCGTACCGAATGGATATAATGGGCAGGCCACGCAACGCGAGTAGGAACGATGACAGTTGACAAGGCTTGGAAGTAGGCCGTGCTCATGGATCTGTTGTTCGAGCCTGCCTGTGTAATACACAAGGCAACCACAGAAATGACAATTAATGAAAGGACGGCGCCGAAGATGGCCAGCTTCGCGTTTGTTGCGATGTTACGAGCAACCAAGCACGCGTCGGTCAGTTGCAGGAGTGTACGACGAGAGATGCCTAGAGAAAAGCTGTCGAACATCATCGTTTGGGACATAAAAGCACCGAGGAGGATCACGACAACAATTATGAGTGAGGAAAGCACAGGTTTCGAGCTTAAATATGCTATGAAAGCAAGAGACAACTTCGACACAACCTTGCAAGTGAATCGATCGCGTCACGGCGAATGCACGTGACGTAGCATGACTCAATTAACCGACGGAGCAACTGCAGAATTTGCATCGCCTTCATTGACATTATGTATATCCAGAAGGAAAATCTCGACTCAACAAGATGGTGCATACACAAGACATGGGCAAGCTGCGTCTAACAATTACATGCCGCCGCCTCTGGTACCTCTGTTGGCGTAGTTGTAACGTCAATTTCTGAAGACATGGGTCAGTCATTCGTTGAATTAT